TGCTGGGGCCCCTGGGCATTGGAGACAGCTCGAGAGTGGCCGGTCCTAGCCCTTCCCTGTCTGCGTGGGCGGCAGGCGAAGCTCCCTCCTTCTGCTTTTTGTACCTGGCAAGCAGCAGGGATGGTGCCTCTTGTCTGGGTAACTTGGGGATGTGGCCTCGGGGCGCTCGCTGCGCTGCGCCGGAGGGGCAGGTGTTCGGTCTCGGGGCGCTCGCTGCCCTGCGCCGGAGGGGCAGGTGTTCGGTCTCGGGGCGCTCGCTGCCCTGCGCCGGAGGGGCAGGTGTTCGGTCTCGGGGCGCTCGCTGCCCTGCGCCGGAGGGGCAGGTGTTCGGTCTCGGGGCGCTCGCTGCCCTGCGCCGGAGGGGCAGGTGTTCGGTCTCGGGGCGCTCGCTGCCCTGCGCCGGAGGGGCAGGTGTTCGGTCTCGGGGCGCTCGCTGCCCTGCGCCGGAGGGGCAGGTGTTCGGTCTCGGGGCGCTCGCTGCCCTGCGCCGGAGGGGCAGGTGTTCGGTCTCGGGGCGCTCGCTGCCCTGCGCCGGAGGGGCAGGTGTTCGGTCTCGGGGCGCTCGCTGCCCTGCGCCGGAGGGGCAGGTGTTCGGTCTCGGGGCGCTCGCTGCCCTGCGCCGGAGGGGCAGGTGTTCGGTCTCGGGGCGCTCGCTGCCCTGCGCCGGAGGGGCAGGTGTTCGGTCTCGGGGCGCTCGCTGCCCTGCGCCGGAGGGGCAGGTGTTCGGTCTCGGGGCGCTCGCTGCCCTGCGCCGGAGGGGCAGGTGTTCGGTCTCGGGGCGCTCGCTGCCCTGCGCCGGAGGGGCAGGTGTTCGGTCTCGGGGCGCTCGCTGCCCTGCGCCGGAGGGGCAGGTGTTCGGTCTCGGGGCGCTCGCTGCCCTGCGCCGGAGGGGCAGGTGTTCGGTCTCGGGGCGCTCGCTGCCCTGCGCCGGAGGGGCAGGTGTTCGGTCTCGGGGCGCTCGCTGCCCTGCGCCGGAGGGGCAGGTGTTCGGTCTCGGGGCGCTCGCTGCCCTGCGCCGGAGGGGCAGGTGTTCGGTCTCGGGGCGCTCGCTGCCCTGCGCCGGAGGGGCAGGTGTTCGGTCTCGGGGCGCTCGCTGCCCTGCGCCGGAGGGGCAGGTGTTCGGTCTCGGGGCGCTCGCTGCCCTGCGCCGGAGGGGCAGGTGTTCGGTCTCGGGGCGCTCGCTGCCCTGCGCCGGAGGGGCAGGTGTTCGGTCTCGGGGCGCTCGCTGCCCTGCGCCGGAGGGGCAGGTGTTCGGTCTCGGGGCGCTCGCTGCCCTGCGCCGGAGGGGCAGGTGTTCGGTCTCGGGGCGCTCGCTGCCCTGCGCCGGAGGGGCAGGTGTTCGGTCTCGGGGCGCTCGCTGCCCTGCGCCGGAGGGGCAGGTGTTCGGTCTCGGGGCGCTCGCTGCCCTGCGCCGGAGGGGCAGGTGTTCGGTCTCGGGGCGCTCGCTGCCCTGCGCCGGAGGGGCAGGTGTTCGGTCTCGGGGCGCTCGCTGCCCTGCGCCGGAGGGGCAGGTGTTCGGTCTCGGGGCGCTCGCTGCCCTGCGCCGGAGGGGCAGGTGTTCGGTCTCGGGGCGCTCGCTGCCCTGCGCCGGAGGGGCAGGTGTTCGGTCTCGGGGCGCTCGCTGCCCTGCGCCGGAGGGGCAGGTGTTCGGTCTCGGGGCGCTCGCTGCCCTGCGCCGGAGGGGCAGGTGTTCGGTCTCGGGGCGCTCGCTGCCCTGCGCCGGAGGGGCAGGTGTTCGGTCTCGGGGCGCTCGCTGCCCTGCGCCGGAGGGGCAGGTGTTCGGTCTCGGGGCGCTCGCTGCCCTGCGCCGGAGGGGCAGGTGTTCGGTCTCGGGGCGCTCGCTGCCCTGCGCCGGAGGGGCAGGTGTTCGGTCTCGGGGCGCTCGCTGCCCTGCGCCGGAGGGGCAGGTGTTCGGTCTCGGGGCGCTCGCTGCCCTGCGCCGGAGGGGCAGGTGTTCGGTCTCGGGGCGCTCGCTGCCCTGCGCCGGAGGGGCAGGTGTTCGGTCTCGGGGCGCTCGCTGCCCTGCGCCGGAGGGGCAGGTGTTCGGTCTCGGGGCGCTCGCTGCCCTGCGCCGGAGGGGCAGGTGTTCGGTCTCGGGGCGCTCGCTGCCCTGCGCCGGAGGGGCAGGTGTTCGGTCTCGGGGCGCTCGCTGCCCTGCGCCGGAGGGGCAGGTGTTCGGTCTCGGGGCGCTCGCTGCCCTGCGCCGGAGGGGCAGGTGTTCGGTCTCGGGGCGCTCGCTGCCCTGCGCCGGAGGGGCAGGTGTTCGGTCTCGGGGCGCTCGCTGCCCTGCGCCGGAGGGGCAGGTGTTCGGTCTCGGGGCGCTCGCTGCCCTGCGCCGGAGGGGCAGGTGTTCGGTCTCGGGGCGCTCGCTGCCCTGCGCCGGAGGGGCAGGTGTTCGGTCTCGGGGCGCTCGCTGCCCTGCGCCGGAGGGGCAGGTGTTCGGTCTCGGGGCGCTCGCTGCCCTGGAGCATTCCCTCGGGACAGGCAATATGTCTGGGACTACACTACCCAGAATCCTTAGCGGGACGCTGGGGTCAGCATTTGGCGCGTGAAGCAAAGCCGGGCGATTTGGGGGACTCGGCCTGGAAATAGACCCCCCGGGGAAGCGGGCTCTGGGGGGCCCGGGGGCAG